TGATTGGCCTGAAATTTGGCATGAGGATAGCTTGGCACTACATACTATATTTGCTAAAATATTGGATTTCACTTTTTTCATATAGGCCTGTAAATTGCTTTTTTCAGCTTATTTTGTATCAAAATAGCCCAGAAAGTACATTATTGCCTGTTATACTACTATACTACAGTCCAGTGACCTGAAATGTTAGCCTTTCTAGTTATACATATATTACAGATGATTACACTGCATAACTGATGTACATTTATATGTATGGCAACATGAAATATCAAATTGGCACAGTGTAGATGTACATGATTTCTGATTGTATGATCAACTTTTGGAAGTACAGTGTACATAAGTCTAACAGTTTGGTCTCAGGTTTTACATCTTGTAGAGGTGATAGTCACCTTTTATGTCAACCCATCCACATAATGTGGTAAAGCTTTATAAATAAGTAAATAAATAAATGAATAGGTCAAGAACTGTTTAAACAATAGAAGTGTAAAATGTTTTCTTTGTATCACAGGTGTTTGGTCCTGTAACTGTTGACATCACACCACCTGTCATTGAGACTCCGATCAACGTGACGCACATGACAGTCAACAGTGTAGACTTCCTGGTTGCTGTGTGGTTGGAGGGTTCCATCTACGACACTGAAGACCTGGTGGGCGAAGAACTGGAAGTGGCTGCCGGTGAGTCCAATCTTACCATTTTGTTGAAGATTATAATGTAAGTATGATAGTCATGAAATACTAACGGTAACATTGCTCCTTCCTGTGATTTTCATTATTGAATTTGAGACAGACTAGTGTAATCTACTACAGTCAAACCTGTACAAGTAACCATCTCTAGATAAGGACCACCTGGCCATTGATATACAGTCAAACCTGTACTAGTGATCACCTCTACATAAGGACCACCTGGCCACTTATATACAGTCAAACCTGTACTAGTCACCACCTCTACATTTGTACATAGTGACCACCTTACATGTTGTGTACAAATATGACTTTTGACACAAGCACTGATAATTCTGTGTGTTGTAAGATTTTAAAAGTTGACGGCCCCCGAGTGGTCTTTTTGGGCATTTTGGACTGTAGTTCAAAACTCATGGCAGAAATGAAGGAACTGTGATTGAGGGGAAAGGACTTGTTTTCCTATATTGCTAAACATTACTAGTCCAAGTAGTTAGAGTTTTAAAACTGCCGTATCTGTGACTTGGGCCCAATCCTAGTCTATCATACAGATGCAGTTGTTTCTTATGATGGTAATGTTGGGATAATTGCATCTGTTTGTTTACAGGATCCTCCTGACATAGACCATCAGACCAACCAATCAGAGATCAGATGCCGGTGGTTCGGTTTTGAGCATGCCTATCAGGACATCAGCTACCTGGCAGGTGTGGGCAGTGCCCCTGGTCTGGACGATGTGGTGCCGTTAGAGCTCATCGGATCATCTACATCTCACGTCTTCACAGGACTAAGTCTCGAACATTTCCAGGTTAGACTTCACTTCATTATGCATTAGCTTTTATTCACTGAAAAGGGACTACTGTCTTCATTTATAGCAAAATGTTTACAGATCCAACTATCTAGAATGCTACAATATATTTGCCAATGTGAAGCTAAAGTTTACTAGTAACACCCTACAGATTATTTTTGGAAAAAATACTGTACTTTGGACTAATGCTTGTAACCCTTTACAGCTTAAACTTACAAGGTTGATATTTTGTGACAAGCTTCCTTGCCGCCTAATGGATCATAAAGACCCCCTGCGGAAGTCGTTACGCGTCGTTTCAAATCGAAAAATCTGAAGATTTTATTGAATAATCTGAAGATTTTGGGGAAAATCTGAAGATTTTATTGAAAAGTCTGAAGATGATTTCAAAGAATCTGAAGATTGTTTTCAAAATCTGAAGATGGTTTCAAACAATCTGAAGATGGTTTCAAACAATCTGAAGATGGTTTTCGAAGATTCTTCCGAAGGTCTCAAAGAATCTGAAGATGGTTTTCAAAGAATCTGAAGATGGTTTTAAAGAATCTGAAGATTGTTTCAAAGAATCTGAAGATTGTTCTCTGATTGATGTGAAACAATCTTCAAACAACCTCATGATTTTTCAATGTGATCTTGAAATTTTTGTAAGAACTTCCTTTATTATTGATTAGCATAATATGAAAAATAATTGGAATGGTTTATTGTTGTGTGAGTTTTGATTTAGGGCAATTGAGAGAGTTTTTGTACTCTTGTGTAAAACCAAACAATCCTGGAG